GCGCTCGCTCGGGGCTCCCGCCCGTGCCCGTGCCCCGCCTGCTGGGTGCAAAGTTTTGACGGTACCGAAGTCACAATGAGTATATCCAACGTGTTCCCAGGAAAAAAGGGAAATGAGGAGAACGGGCATCAAAATCCGTCAGAAGGCAGCGCCAGGGTTCGCATCGTGGGGCCCTGGAGCAGGCAGAGAATGAAACGAGCAGCATTTCCACTCTGGTGATGTTCCTGGTGCTTTAGGGCTCCTGCACTGCCTGGCTCCCTGTTCCGCAGGGGCGAGAGTCACCCGGAGCTGCCCTCTGAGCAACCCCTTCACCCAGCAAATGAATGGTCAGAGGGATGGAGCAGCTCTGCTCTTGTTGGGGATGAGAGTCGAGGTTGTTCAGCCTGGAGAAGAGAAGGCTCCAGGGAGACGTTCTTGCACCTTTCAGTACTTGAAGGGAGCCTACAAGAAAGATGGGGACAGAGTTTTTATCAGACCTAGTAGCAACAGGACAAGGAGTGATGGTTTAAAACTAAAAGAGGGAGATTTAGGCTAGATAGAAGGAAGACATTTTTTACACTTGAGGGTGGTGAAACCCTGGCCCACGTTGCCCAGAGAGGTGGTAGAAGCCCCATCCCTGGAAACATTCAAGGTCAGGCTGGACAGGGCTCTGAGCAACTTGATGTGGTTGAAGATCGTAGAATCATAGAATGGTTTGGGTTGGAAGGGACCTTAAAAATCTAGTCCAACCCCCCTGCTGTGGACAGGGTTGCCAACCACTAGATTCAAGGCCAGGGCCCCATCCAACCTGGCCTTGAATGTCCCTGCTCATTGCAGGGAGGATGGACCAGATGACATTTAAAGGTCCCTTCCAACTCAAACCATTCTGTGATTCTATGAAGGCTGTGGCTTGATAGCCCCTCATTGCCCTGAACCAGTGACCATAACAAAACAAAATCAACATGAGACCCTAAGGTGTTTTGATTATGAGGGGGTTGCTTAGATGCTGGCACATCAAACAAAGCAAAGATTATTTTGTCTAAGAAAAAAGATGGTTTCTAGACCCAGGCTGAAGGTGATGAGCAGGATCTAAGTTCAGATTGTTCCGTCATCTCTGTCTCTCTCTTTTTAATCTTATTTGCTTCTCCATCATCTCGTTGGTCTGTTCCTCCTGCTGTATTTACAGTGCACAAAAAGTTTTCTGTCTAACACTGACACAAACTTCCTTCTTTATCAGCATCTCCAGTTCCGTGTACCACAGCTCCTGTACGTTGCTGTGCTCTAGTCTGTGTTACAGCATCCTGTTTATTCCACTCTACATCTATGTTGTGTTTAGCTTCAGATTTACCATAAATAAATCTTGCAGGTTACGTGAACCTGAAACTGCCTGGCTTCTGCCAGAGCTACTGAGAGGCAGCTGGGCTGGTTAAAGGGGTTTTTTTTAAGTTGGGGATGGGAGTTGCCACTCTTCTTTCTGTAGCTTTTTGTATTCCCTGCTGTAATCTTGGGAACTTTATTTTTCTCTTTAGCTACTGTCAGACCAAAGAATGAAGTAGAACAGAAGCAGCTCTGTGCTTTTGGGGAGTACGTGGCTGAGATTCTGCCCAAGTATATCCAGCAAGCACAGGTAGGTGCTCTTCAGGAAACTGTTCTTGTCAGGGGGACAGGATCCAGTAAACTCACTACTTGTTTGTTGGCTGTTTTCAGATGTTGCTCTGGGGAAGGAAGACTGTCAGAATTACGTGAAAGTTGCTGCTATTATTAAAGCTCTTTATCTGCTGTCATTATGTGTCTGCTGGACTATGTGGTCTCCTTGTTCAGATATCCTGCTGGATTCAGTGTAACGTTGGTTCCAGTCGGTGTTTGTACTCATGCTCTTCCCACTGTTTTCATCAGGTGACCTGTTTCAATGAGCTGGAACTTTTGATCCATCCAGATGGGATCATTCCAGTTCTGACCTTCCTTCGAGATCATACGAATGCCCAGTTCAAATCCTTGGCTGACTTGACTGCTGTTGATGTCCCATCTCGGCAGTACCGCTTTGAGGTAAGAACTGCTCAGGTAGGTGCAGGGCTTGGAGAGTTTCACAGGTGCTGATGGCCTGTGGGTGCTGTTGCAGCTCTCACCACGTTTTTTGCTTTCTGACAGTAAAAGCAAAATCTACTTCAAAATGCTGGGCTGTGTTTAATCTGTTGATCATGGAAGCAGTATTAGGATTGACAGTGCATAGGTTCCTAGTCTGGCTTTCTTTTTGTGCCCTCCTGGAAGTCTCTTTCTCTCTTTTATTTATTTATTTTTATTTTGGTTTGGTTTTACCAAAGGGTATAGAGACTTTTTTCTGATCAGATACGAATTGGTGATCTTCCTTCTTCCACTCAGGCCTGGAAGCTGATATTGATCATGTTTTTCTTTAAATCCCATCAATCTTCTTAAGAATTTTCCTCTTTTTCAAAAAAAAAACCCAAACAAAAAAACCAAACCCAACCATAAACCAAACCAAAACAACTATTTAGTTTTTTTATAAACATTCCTTGAAAGTCAGGACCTATTTGAAGGAGATGAGGCTCATTTTCAGAAAGCTCTCAGAAGATTTGGGGCACCAAACTTCCACTGACTTCCAGTGGATATTGGAGATTTGCTTCCTGCAGATGCTTTTGAAAATCTCACTGTGTAGCTTTTCAGCTGCAGAAAAATGGCAGCTACAAATAGAAAAAGAAAAGATACATCTTTGGGGAAACACAGACTCAGCATATTGTCTTCTTGCCTACTATTAGAAAGCTTTATTCACAGTATTGTTGGAAAGACGTGATTCTGGTTTAACCTAGGGACATCTGTAGAAGACAGTGGCAGAAAATACAAGGGGCTCACATGCTGTAGGAGTTAAATCTCTTAACGAGAGCAGCTCAGAAGGCGAGGGGTGGCAGGTTTGCCTCAGCTGTATTAGCCGGTCAGATGTCTGTTGCTTTCAAACAGATCTCCTTCTTGCTTTGCTTTGAATTTTAGTAACCTAATTCGTCATTAGGCAAAAATCCTGAGAGTTATAAAGAAAGAGTTTCTTAACTCAAAGGCCTTCAGTCTCTGCAGAAGTTGAAGATGTTTTAATTCAGGATTTTTCTCTCAAAAATCAGGGTCATAGATTCATGGAAATAATAGAAATGTAGGCTTTAATGAATTCACCTTTTCTAGTCATCTCCACAGAGGCAGTATCAAACAAGACTACACAATTTCTGACAAAGGTTTAGGGCTTTTTTCTGTCTGCTTATAGTAAGTATTCCCCCTCCAGATTTTCTAGGAATCCTCATAAACAACCTTTTTATTAGTCCTTCATCACCAGAAGAGTGAGAGATTTTCTCTTCTATGCAATTTTTTTGCTGGAAATTAAGTGTATTTCTTTTTTAGCCTTCTCCCTTTGGATGCTGGGAGTAATTGATAGTGGTTTTCTTTGTGACAAACTATTGAAACACTATTTTCAAGCATCTCCATCCCTTCAGTATTCTCTTTTTTTAAGATTTAGTATCTCTCTTTACTTCAACTCTTCTACATCAGTCATGTTTTCTAAATCTCACGTCCTTTTTTGTTACACTTCTAAGGATCACAGCGATAAGCTGTTGGAACCTCAGTTGTACTAATGTCTGTTAGTGCCCAGCTCTGAAGTGCTGAATGTGATTCTGCTGATAATGAATATTCAGAATAGTCTTTGTGTGCCTTTGCTTAGCCAGTACTGTGCTGCACAGACCAATGCCACCTTTTATTCTGCTTCAGATTGTTTACAATCTCCTGTCTCTGCGGTTCAACAGTCGGATCCGTGTGAAGACGTACACCGATGAGCTGACACCTATTGACTCAGCAGTGTCTGTGCACAAGGCAGCAAACTGGTATGAAAGAGAGGTGAGTGCCAGTGTAGTTGGGAGCAGAGTCTTTGTGGAGAGGGGCTGTGTTTTCCTGATTAAACTGATTCCCAGGGCCCTGAGGGAGAAAGGGAGAAATGTTTCCCTGGCTGCCTTTTCAGAATAGAAGATAAAAGGGTGTTTGATTTGCTTTTGAATGAGTTCCTGCATCATTTTTGCTGTCCCTGCACAAAGCCAGGCATGTAACTGAATTTTTGTGGACATAATATATGAAAGGTGATGTTGGTTTTTGTTGGGTTTTTTTTTTCATCTAATGCAACCTTTTCATGGTTGGAATTTGTCTCCTTTTCATGTAGGTTTGGGACATGTATGGTGTTTTCTTTGCCAACCACCCTGATCTAAGGCGAATCCTCACAGACTATGGGTTTGAGGGCCATCCTTTCCGCAAGGACTTCCCACTCTCTGGTTATGTGGAGGTAGGAGATACGCTCGTGTCTAAAGTTATCAGATCTCTCCATTACTCTTATCTGAGTTTCCAAACTCTTATCTGAGTTTCAGTACAGAGATGTGACTGCTTTACAATCCTTTTTCAGGAAGGCACTAAGGATGTTTCACTTATTGGTATCTCTGAGGAGTTGTATAGATCTCTGGCGTGGAAATTTGAAGTCATCACAAAGTATTACACATAATAAGGCAGCTTAAGGCCAGAGACGTTGAGCAGATTTCATGTGCTGTACACCACAGACATTTGTCAGGCAGAGAAAGTGCTTCTGCTTTTAGCATGTCTTTTGGAAAATTAAACTTTCCACTGCAAAACTGGAGACTCCCAGAGGAATGAAGGACAGAACTGATCTTCATGCAGTTGGAACTCCACTTTGTTGAGTTTTTGTAGGCCTTGATTATAAAACTCTAGTTGAACTGACTCTTGCCATTTATCAAATATTTACCATTTATCAATATTTACCTCTCTATGTCAAACCACAGGTGAAATGAGTGTGTTTGGTGCCTGTCTAGTTTCAGGTACCTAGCAGTCCTGTTTGGTGCAGGTCTAAGACTGAGTTGAGTCTCAGGAGAAAACAGTCAGGTTCTGCAGGCAACAGAATGTTTTATGAAAAACAGAAATAACAGCAAATCCTGCGAGTGAGGACCAGGCAGCACCTCCTGAGCTGTGGTTTGGAGATCTGGACTGGCGCAGTGAGGATAAATTAAGCCAGTCAGAAGTGTCTGGTACTCACCTTGGTTGTCATTTTGTCCCGTGTTCTGAATATTACGCCAAGAAGCAAAACTAAAACCAAACAAACTGCCATATTATAAAGATTAATGACAGCAGTCCCCAGCTGTGCCACGTGGATGGGCCACCTTATTTCAGTGACTCAGGAGAAATCCCTTTGTTGTATGACAACATAAATGTCAGGGGTTGGAACTAGACGATCTTTAAGGTCCCTTCCAACCCAAATCATTCTATGATTCTATGATTATTTCATGTGGACTGTAGGCTGGGCACTCCTAATTCCGGGTGGTTAGGCAGGACATGATGTCTTGGTGATATCTGGAGGGCTCTCATTTAATAATGAGGAGAACTGAAGGTGTGTCAGAGGCCCGTGGCGTATCTGTGGCATGAGAAGTAGGATTGCCTGTACCAGAGGGTGCTCTGGGTCATTACTGCACTCAGCTAATAGCAGAGATGCTGTGGGGACTGTATCAGAATGACTGACCTGTGTTCTTTGCGCCGTTCTAGGTGCGGTATGACGATGAAGTGAAACGGGTAGTGGCTGAGCCTGTGGAGTTATCTCAGGAATTCCGCAAGTTTGATCTGAATAGTCCTTGGGAGGCATTTCCTGCCTATCGTCCAGCTCCAGAACCTCTGAAAATAGAAGCAGGAGCCAAGAAAGAAGATGCAAAATAGCAGCAGAATAGAGTGGATGCACCATCCTTTCTATTCTAACATAGTATTTATAATAAAAAAAATGGATATGAGATTCTTGCCTGCTCTGGTCACGTGAATAATGTTATTTTCAAACTAGGTGAGGGATGCTAATTTATGATCTTGATAATGCAACTGGTAGATGTTTATCTGCTGCTTTGAGTTATAAGACACTGGATTTGTCTTTTTGGTTGGTACATTGAATGGAGTCCAGGCATTCCCTGTGGCTAAGATGCTTTATATACACTGCTTCTGCTCGTTGTCCCTGCAGGCATAAGTCATAACCTGAGTGCTCACTAGGAGACTGTACTGAAGCAGCTGCGTAGCTTAAGCAGTGGGACAGCAGCAGCTCAGCTCCAGGTGTTGGGGAGACCATAATAATACAGCAAACAGGCAAAGCCTTTGTAAATGGTTCTAATACAGTTGTTATTAGGACAACACGAGATGTACCTGGATCCAGACCAACCCAATTGTGGAAATCTCGGCATTGTTTCCTTGGGAATTAGGTCAGTGCCTGTTCTGCTGGCAGGAGGAGGAGTTGCAGGTAACCTCTCACGTGCTACTCCCCTCATACTGGCTTTTTCTTCACAATCAATCAGTCTTTACTTTTTCCAGCATCTTCAGATTGTCCTTTTTTTCCTGCAGTCAAAAATATCTCCCTTCCCGTGTCCCACAGACAAGAGTGAATGCCTTTTTGTCACTATTCCAGTTATTTTGAGCTGGATGATATAACAGCATTACCACTGTCTTTGCTGTTGTGGAAAATCTCAGCTCTCTCCAAAAAAGCTGGAAAAATACTGTAGTTTGAGTCCACCCACCACCTGTTTGAATGGGATTATATTACAGCAGTCATCAATTAATAATGTCCCTTGTCCTTAGTCCAGAAAATGCGCAACACGGTTCTGCACCAGAAAGCTGACTGACCTCATTAGGAGCTGAAAACCATTGTATAAGAGATTTTGTAAAATAATTCACAAACTGTTTGTAGAGATTCCCTAAATCACTACTTAAGCTTTTTAAATTGGAAGAGCACTAATTAAAAAGGGGGTTAGGGGAGGTTAGAGTATGGGATGGAGGAAGGGATAGGACAATAATAAATTCAGTTAAGAAAAAAAAGGGACAAGTACTCATTGGGACTAGATCTGTTTGTAAAAATAAAGAGCAGAACTGTATGGTGTGAATCAGGTTTCATGTTTGTTTGTTTACACTCCAGCCTTGTAAGCAGGGCTTCTTAAATTCTTTTTTTTTTAATTTGTTTCAGGCTGCTATGGCCAGCAGTGTTCAGTGTTTGGGATGTGACTCAGAACAGTGTTCTCTAGTTAAAATTAACAGCATTTGCCACTCGTCTTAAAAGTTATAACTCTTTATGGCAAAGAGAAAAGAGAAGGGAACACAAATCAGCAAAGTTTGGGGTTTTATACAATGCTTACCTCCACTTTGGATCTGCCATCAATTGAGCTGATTAAATAGGAACTGCACTCTTAGTCTTTCCTACAACATGTTCCACAGCTGGTTCTGTTTTCTGTTGCAGTGGCTCTTTGCCTGCCAATGCCTATTGCACAAGACAGAAAAGTTCCTGGCATCACTTCTGTTACTGTGAAAATTCTTTACAGAGCACATTTCCCCATCCACCAACTTCTCCTTCCCCCATCCCAGGTTGCTTGAGGCACCGTGCCAAGACTCAGCGTCTGTGGATCATAAAAAACCCCCTGTATTTCCCAGTATGAAAAGTCAGGAGGTTCTGTGTCAATAATGACTCTGTGGTTCTGTGGTAGATGTAGCACTCGGGGATAAAGTTTATTGGGCATGGTGGTGATGAGTTGATGGTTGGACTGGGTGATCTGAGAGGTCTTTTCCAACCTTAATGACTCTGTGATTCTGAAGACTGATGGTAGCAGAACTAGAAGGGAAATTGCCATTTAAACATAATGTTTGTGCAGAAGGAGAATTTGAGTGAGGTAACATCAAGAAATGTTGGGCAGAGTGTCCTGTCAAGTTAGACAAGATGCAAGGTTTGCTGAAGAAGGTGTGTACTGGAGTCCAAGCAGCCAGCCCTGCAGGGACAGGCATTGGCTCCAACAGGTCTTTAATACCTGTTGCTAGTGGGTCAATAACAATAGTTGCTAATGCACCCAAATTCTTCTGATTAGAGAAGCTTTGGAGCTTATGAAGAGTGCAGTTTACTCGCCTGGAGCATTATCCCAGGGCACAAGAGGTTACACATCCTCACAAAGTGCTGCCAGTGTTGGCACAGTACCTCCTCCACGGCTCTTGAGCCCCAGGGCCATCCCTGCCTATGGAGCCTGCTCTGGGTTCCTTGTGGCTGGTGGGCATTTGCTTCATGCTGGGCAAGGCTGTGGTCAGCTTGGTCAAGGACTTGGTCTTACAAATCCTCTGTCCTTGCCTGGTCCACACTGGCAGCCTCCATGAGGCTTCTTTGCCTGGGTTGGATTTCCCAACCGTAGGAGGATGTTGGATGAGATGCAAGTCAGATACAGCTGACTTACAGACACACTGTTCAGAAGAGAAATTTTCTGGTACTGCAGGGACAAACAGCCTTTAGGGGATGACTCACAGTCACCCGTGCTGAGTTTCCTCAGCTGAGTAGGTTTTGCTGGTGTTTTCCAGAACTCTGGCATTTCTCCCTACAGCCGGGCGAGCAGATGCTCTTCCCCGAGGATGCGGCTATTGATGGTGTCAGGGTGTTCACCTGCATCATGGCCACACCATCTCTACAGGCCCAGATGGATCTCCAGTCTAAATCCAGATGGGAATTCCAGCTGGGCCTTGGATGTCTGCAGGACAGAGATGAAGGGACTACTGAGGGACAGGCTGGATGACAGCGTGCCACGTACCACCCATCGCACTGCATCCCGTTACATCGTCTCCAAGTTTTGTCAGACCTGAGGGGGGACCTTTTATGCAGTAGGTGCTGTGGGATGGGGCCCTCCCTGTCCCTGTTACACAGCCCATTTCTCCTTCAAGCAGGGGATGCAGCTCACATAGTCAAAGAAAAAGACAAACCATTTGCATCAGGACCAGCAGCACCATACCTGGAAAATCCCAGTAGAACAGTGAAGGTCCCATCTGGTTACAGACAGTGCTTCCCTCAAGGTTTTCTTCCTTCTTCACCTCCTCTGACTCAAACTGCACCTTCTTTGGGAGCCATGTATGTCTTTCTTCCTTCCCTTCTTTCCTCAGGCTTCCTCCTCTCCTCATCTTCCTCTCCTGAGCACCTTCCAGACAGGCCCAGGCTGGGAACTGTGGTCTCCCCAAGTTCTGGGCAAGATGTTTAAAGCAAGAGATTTCTCCACTTCTAGAAGCAGCATTTCCCTTTTGTGGGGATGCTGCCTGTCTCCCTGTGGTCCCACCTCAAAGAAACCTCCCTCCCAAAGAGGTTCTTCAGGTGCTCCACACCACCACACCTTGTGCCTTCTGCCACCACCCTGGACCACACGTGTCCCTAAGCACAGCCTGTGTGGGTCCCTGTGGCAAGACGCCTGTCCCAGCACAAAGGTGTGATCTGCAGTGGGACAAGGGAGCAGCAGAAATCACTGTGTTGAGAGGACAGGTGGCTTCAGCTGGACAAATGCTGCTCTGTGTGTGGTCACAGTTGAAAAATCAAAGATCCAAACAAGGTAATAAAATAAAAGGTCATTAGAAACAACATAATGGTGGATGAAGGTGCTAAACAAGCCAAGAAACACAAGGATTTAGGGCCTGCAGGAGTCTGTAAGGCAAGAGCCAGAGGAATTCTTCCCAGCAGATACTGCCACTTGTGATGGTGGCAATCTGAGGTTAGGGTGGCTGCAACCTCACCGCTTTCTTCCCTAAACAGTTCCTCACTCCACTGCCCCAGCTCCCCTCTGACAGCCAAAGCTCCAGCCACCTGCAACAGATTTTTCATCAGCATCCAACCAGCTCCTGCAGTTTTTGATCCTTCATATCTTGTTCCTCTTTCCCACCTTCTTGCTTCAGGAGATCACGGTGGAAAGCATGAAAGCAGTCAAGGTGCCCCTGCAAAAACCTGGCTTGATGTGATGTTTTGAAACTGCTCCTACAACAGACGGCGTGACCAGGGGGAGCGTGGAGGGGCAGGTTGTGCACGCTCAGCTGTGAATACCTGGCAAGGACAAAAGCTCTCAGAGGAGCAGGTGCATTGCCCAATGCTGTGATCGCACGTGCAGGGACTACGTGCTGCTGCCAGAAACTCAGCCTTGTTTCCAGGTCACTACTGCTGCTTTACAAACAGCCAAGGCGTTGTGTTTCTCACTCTGCAAGTGCAGGACAGGGAGGCAATCCTACAAAATCCTCCCAGCTCAAGGCAGTACCTACCACTGATGCTTGTCCCCTGCCTGCCACTGTGTGACTCACCTCAGCACAGCCTCTGAGCCTCCTCTCTTCTCCCTCCCACCAACAAGGGTATCCTCCTCCAGGCGCTTCAGCTGCAAGCTGTTCCTGGGAAATTTTCCTGTTGGCAAAGTCATATTTGCAGATGTTGGCTGAAATCACACACAGAATCACACAGAACTGCCCAGATTGGAAAAGCCCTGTAAGATCATCAAGTCCAATCATTAACCCAACACTGACAAGTCCCTGATTAACCCATGTCCCTCAGCACTGTGTCTACACGACTCTTCAATCCCTCCAGGGATGGGGACTCCACCACTGCCCTGGGCAACCCCTTCCAATGCCTGAGAGCCCTTTCAGCAAAGAAATTCTTCCTCACACCCAATCTCAGCTGCCCTTGGTGCAACTTGAGGCCATTTCCTCTTGTCCTGTCACTTGTTCCTTGGTTGAACAGACCCATCCCCACCTCTCTCCACCCTCCTCCAAGGGACTTGGACAGAGCCAGAAGGTCTCCCCTCAGCCTCCTCTTCTCCAGGCCAAACCACCCCGTTTCTCTGGGGCTCCAGGGCTGTATCACACACTGCATGCTAAAGGGAAGCTATTTCATGGCCCATGAGACACCAGGATTTTTTGCGTAGTGACTTCTAGATAAATCACGTGTGCACTGTGGATTGTAAGGGACTCTGGCACAAAACAGAAGGTGCATCAATGCTACTGCACAGATGGGTCATCAGCGTCTGCTTCTTGAGTAGCATGTGATTCACAGTTTAATAAAAGACATCTCATCCCAGAAGAAAGGGATGCAACTAAAGTGTAAGCAGCAGAAAATAATGAAAACTGAAAGCAGCATAGACTGACTTGCAGGTACCCAGGGCTGTGACAGAAACACAGGTTCTCGTTTTGATTCAAACTGAAGTAAGAACAGCTCTGGATATTGAGAGCCTCTCCTCCCTTGGTAAATCTGGGGGACTCTTCCATTTTGTGCTGCTTTACTTCATAACTGGTGTGAGTCCACCTATTGCCAGGCACAGCTACAGATGCTGGAAGTTTCAGACTTGCTACTTTGCACATGGACAATTTACTGGCTGGAACATCATCCCTACCCTCAGGAAATCCGGTGACAGTACTCACTAAACTGAGTAACTTGCTGAGAAAGGTGTTTCATCTTCACCTCCTCTCTCTTCCAGGCAGATTTCTTTCCCCAAAGAACACCTTTAACCTGAGGGAGATGCTATTATTACTTATTTATACCTATTGCTACTTATTTATACCTATTATTACTTATTTGTATAATCCTGGCATCCAAGAACCTGTTGGTTCTTGGACAACACTGTGCCATGCAGAGTAGAAATACAGAACAGCTTGACTGGGGATTGGGCACTAGCAGAAGTGCAAAGGTGTTCAGAGAACAGATACCTGCTGTGGAGGGAATCAGATGAAGTTTCATCTCTGTGCTTCACAACATCTAAGGCAGACGGTGCTCGTCGTAACCCAGAAGTCTTGTCACAGGAGAGGACATGGAGGTGCTAAAGCCTGGCTGGCTCTGATCCTTGCTGTTTGTTAGGTCAGTATATTGAGATGTCCCTCCAGGAGGTTTGATACGGAGTGGAACAAATGACATTCCTTCTGCCTGCTTGTATATTTTGGCTGCTACTGCCCTTCCCATGAATCTGCCCAGACTGCCGGCCTTATCGCTTGTGACATTTCAGGATTGTTTGCAGATTTTCAAACTGAGGAAAAAGGAAACCTGAAAATGAAGCTGAGGAGCTGGGCAGAAGCATCACAGAGATGTGACACAGGCACAAAGGCCGAAGGGACCAGGAGGTCCCCCCTTCTTCAGAGGCAATCGTGTGTAGTGAAATTTCTTGCAACTAATAACTGCCCATAATAAATTGCAGTGGGAAATCAGTCTTTGGAAAAGAAACTTAAACAATTTGCCAAAAACATCACAACAAAGTCTTCCAAGTTTCCAAAATGTGATGGAAAATATCCTTCGGGGTCAGCAAGTTGAACTGCAAGCCCTTCCCAGACTGTGATCAGAAACACAGAAAGATGGATCCGTTCCAACGGAGGCTGCTGGGATCAGAAGCAACAAGGGAAGACGCCACAGCAAACCGCTCCCACTTCACGCGCGGCACCGTCCACGGAGCAGGTGGCAGCCGTGACCGGGCAGGGCTGCCATGGCCCGGGCGCAGCTCAGCACCTGGCTGATCCTCTGCGTGTTCGCTGGATCCCAGAGGCTGACAGGTAGGAATTGCACCCGCTAGTGATGCGGCTTCTTGGCTTGGCAAACCCTCGTGCGATGCCGCTGTGGCAACGCTGTGCTTGCTTCTTCAGATGTGGTCAAACGCTTCAGCCAGCTCTGCTGGCACGGGGAGAGCTGGAGTCCCAGCTGGGACTTGTACCTACTTGCAGGACAAAGACCTGCTGCTATTTTTGATGGCAAGGGGAGGGTTTTCTTGGATCTCTGCTGAAAAAAAAATCTGCTCCTGCAATAATGTTTGTGGATTTTCTAGATTCTTTTTGGAAAAAAACAAACAACTGTTGAGTGATGAAGTAAACAAGGGCCCATTTTCCCATCTTCAGAGAACATTTACGTTATTTTTTCAATACTTTATTTGTTATGCTTTGTTTAATTTTTGTTTTACTCTACTCCAAAATCTAACACTGCATAAATCCATAAGATAATTACTAATAACAGCAGTTTGGCAGCTATTCAATAAATTCAGTGACTTTGCAGCCAACAAGATGTCCCTCGGTAGAGGGATCGGTGAAGTTGGCAGGTCAGTGAGCAGAGAGAAGACCAGCAAAGAAGCAATGTAGTACCTTTACCTGAGCTAAAAGCCTTGCTGGTGCATCCATGGAAGAGCAGGGAAGGGCAGCTGCATCCCTGCTCACATTCCAAAGCCACAGCTGGCTTGGATCAGGGATCCTGCAGCCGTGCAGAGAAACAAACCCCCACAGCCTGGGGGGTGGCAGGACGCTTCTTCAGACAACTCGTACATCTCCCTGAAACGCTTTCATCACGAACAGAAAGTTGGAAGCAGGGTTTGGTGGTGGTGATCACACACACAGAGTATTAAATAATTTTCCTACTTCTTATAAGCACCTGCTGACCTTAACTGTGGAGTACTCAACAGAAATATATATTTTTCTATATATATATATAGAAAAGCCTTTATCCATACAAAAATAATACTAAAAAACATTTCAGAGAACTTCTTATTTTATATGAGCTTTTTCCATTTCACACTTCTTGACCTGAAGGATGAGTCTGTGAGAAGTAGAAGAGGGTCTTGGCTACATGCTGAGGTTACACAGAGAAGGGAGGGCATGCAGTCTCCCTCTCACAGTCCTGGACCCAGGCTACTCGTGCCTTGTTTTTCCACAAAGAAGGAAATAATAAAGGCAAAATAAATGCAGGGAGTTAAAGCACTGCAAGTATTAGTAAATGGAAATTCAAGAATTCTTAGGATTAATGTGACTCTTTTATTAATAAACTCCCATTCCTCTGGCCTCATATCCATTTTTTTCCCAGTTTAAATGTTGTTGGGAAGCCCAGCAAGGAGTTAGCTGGATATTAGAAGAGCCATAATGGATCTGACTGGGTTTTTTTTTACCCTCACACTCTGCCCCTGCCAGCAGCAGATGCTCAGGGAAGAAGTATAAAACCAGGATAAGCATCAGGTTATGCTACCACCAGCACATCAGGGAACCTCCCAGCACCCTGCTTCCATCAGGCAGCTTTACTTTCTCCAGCAAAAACTGCCAAGCAACCAAAAACCCATCAGTTCAAACCTCACCAGTTCAGACCCCACCAGTTCAAACCCCACCAGTTCAAACTCACACATACATGGGGTGAGGGGCTTCCTTGCTGCCTGTCGAAGCGAGTGTCTTCGCTGCCGTACGCTTTAGCTCTGTTGGCAGGATAAAAGGCCGTCATATCCCAAACTTACACTTGCCTCCCTTAACCACTTCTGCTTCTCTTAAAAAGCTTGTTTTGCTCATCAAAATCCCGTGGTCAGCATCTGTCACGCTTGGCAAACTATGAGTGGCAGCTCAGAAATATTGAAGACACGACTGACAACCAAATGACAAAAATAAACAGGAAGGGCCGTGTCTTTGCACTTCCAAACTCTGCTTGATGTCTTCCAGATGAACATTTTCACAGCAGGGATGGTGCCAGCATCAGCTCACCCCGTCGCAGCCCACAGGACGCCGACGTCATGTTAGAGGTCTCCTGGGCGTTGGGGACCCGTGGGCCGAGGCACTGTTAGCACCCGCGCTCCCACCTGCCTGCACGTAAAAACTCACACGTTCTGCTTGTTCTCATCCCTGTTGGATTTTGGGAGCGCCTGGAAAATGCCTCAGTGATGCTCTAACTGTGTTTGTGTTCCCTCCCATTGCGGGGTGCTCTGACCCCCTCCATAGCACCTCACAGCTTTGGGGTGGGACAAGGGATCCTCCTCCCCACCCAGGGTGACCATGCTGGGGACCTGCTGCGGGCAGGACTGCGGGGGGAGAGGCAGGGCGGGAGGCACGAGCTGGGATGGTCCCATGGGGAAAGCGAGGTGTGGGGCCGGTCAGAAAAGGGGTGTGGAGCTGGCGGAGAAGGACGTGGAGTGGGACTAGGCGGGTCGTGGGCAGTGCGTCAGGGAGCAGCTGCCTCTCGGCCCGACCCGAGATTTGGCAGAGTTGCAGATGGCTTTACAGCTCGGTTATAACTGGCGGAGAGTTTGTGCTGGGCTTCCCGTGCACACGCTGCTCTTCTCTTCCAGATGCTCTGGGGAGGGCTGGATCTTCAGGCCAACAGGACAATGTGGCTGCGGGATGAAGAGCTGGCCTCCCTGCGCCCGGCACGGTGGTTCATGCAGATCTTAGAGGATGAAGTTCCCAAAACACCAACAGAAATTGAGCAGCATCTGAGATATTATTCACTGATTGACACCCCTTTGCCTCTAGCAGAGTTTGACCGTCTCCTCCTCACCAGTGTTTACTGTGCTTATCAGGTTCGCTCCGTGCAGGGTCTGGATAAAAACCTCTGGATTCGTTTTTTCTCTCGGCTGGTTGATGAAATGTTTCGTGATCTGTGCAAGGGGCTCTGTCCTGCAAATACCACCCTCCTCCTGGCTTCCTGGCCTTGGAAGGAGAAACCTTCACATTTAGCATCCCTGAAACATTTCTATCGTTCAAACCTGGCCAGGAACAAGAGAGACACTTAAGAAGGGAAACTACTGCAGGAAAGGACCCACCTGACTCCCGCTGCACCCTCAGTTATTTAGAACACTTTCTGCAGGACTTTGTACAAACACACAAAGGACTTTTTTGTCCTGCTTTCTGCATTGTGCTGGCAACTCTCTGATGATTTATATACAAACTTTTAATTTTAAACTAAACAGGACAAAACTATAAAGTGCATTTCACCATTTTTTGTTTGTTTTAAATTTTTTTTCCTGTTTGTTTTTAAGTGGGCTGTGCAGAAGGGAGCAGAGCTATTTAGATACGTTATCTATCTTGATCACTGCTGCTCACTGGGGAGATGCCCTGGCAGTTTCTTTTCCAGGATGTTACCCTGGTGTCCTACCTAACTTCACTTTAGATTATTCAGTTCAACCTCCTTATATTCCCCCTGTGGTTTCAGCCAAATGCATTTTCTTTCCTCCTCTCCAGTAACCAGCTAAGCAGATGCCGGCGTGTTTCATGATATAGGTCACATATTTAATTCCAGCTTTCTGCTCATGTGACATCGTGGTTTATGTCTCATAGTAATTGCCCATCTCGTGTATTCATTTTTCTTATAAAAAGCAACCTGAAAATGTATGGATTCCACGAAGCTTTCTAGTATTTGCACATCATATGTACACACGTCCATGGCCTTGTGTCAGTTATCAGTTTGGAATACACTTCCTCAAATCTCATTTAAATTCTTAAGGATTGTGACCTAGTTATTGCTTCAGCAGCTTTTACCTCTTCTATGAAGTCGTTTTCTACAGCTATGGCACTTTACAAGCCAAACATAATAAATACACAATCTCTATCCTCAAAACCAGAAATACAATCATTTGCTGGAAAGAGATCATTAACTTTTCTTTGTTTTACACATTGCAGCGTGGAATTAAATAAATGTAATTATCTACTTGGGTGGGTTTGGATGTTTTTTGGTTTGTTTCCACTGGGTTTTCTGCTGCCATAATAGGTACTTTAATTTTGAACCTTCATTGCATACGCTTAGATAATGGCATCCATAATTCATTTGCTATCAATATACTCTTAATTTTCCATGCTCAACAAAGGAGGCGTGTGTGACATTCAAAATGGGAACTGCCAGCTTTTGACCTAGTTAATTTTTTTCCAAACTGCTGTGGCCCCAACAGATGGAGAGGAGAAATGGTGAGGCAGGAATAAGAAGCCTGGAAGCAAGATGCCACAGAGAATGGTTTTTGAGGTCAGGTTAGGGCTATGACAGGAGAAGGTAGATTTATACAGTTCATAAAGCAGGTTGTTTGTTCCTTGGTGTTATTTTTTTCCCCCCAAAGGACGTAGGAATTAAGATCAGCATTTTATTTGAACGACAATTGTTCAATTGTTCAAAGAGGTTGTGGAGTCTCCTTCTCTGGAGACATTCAAGACCCGCCTGGACGCCTTCCTGTGTGATCTCATTTAGGTTCCTGCTCTGGCAGGGGGATTGGACTGGATGATCTTTCGAGGTCCCTTCCAATCCCTGACATTCTGTGATTCTGTGACAACTTCTAGCAAACCAGTGTCCCACCTAATGTTCTTCTATTCTTATGCTGGTTAGGGTTTTTTTTTTCATATCTCCAATCTCTACCCTTCATCCCTTTCCCAAATATGCCCCCAGTCTTCACTGTCTAGGATCTGTAGGTGGTGACAGAGGCAGGGAGTGGCTGCAGACAAGTCCAGTTTGAGCAGAGATCACCAAAAGGCTGAGCTGGGATGGCATTAGCGTATGAAAATATTGTCTTGCTGGAGAATACACGGTCTGAGCTACACGAATGCCTGGATAAAGGTTGAGGGGGGTGGCTTGGTGATTTAGAATGAGTTCAAGAGCCTTGCTACCTGTTGAGCAGATTACAAATGAAACTCAAGTGAAGTCACAAAGTTTTGTGCATGCTCAGGATGATGGACACTTGCAGTTTGGGTATTTTGGGAGATAAACCAGAGTCCAGCTCAACTGAAACAGTACCAACTGCACTACGATGAAGCCTCCAGCCTCCTGGTTTCTTACTACCCAACTGATGGGTCCCATGGTCAGTCCAACTGCCCTGTAGGAACACACCCATGCCCTCTGCAGCCACACCAACCTCCCTACAGCAGCACTATGGCTTGGTGGAACACAATGTCTAAGAAACCACTGGCACACAGTTATTTAGGTATTTATGAGCATTGATAAGATCCCCTCTCAATCTTCTCTTCTCCAGGCTAACCAGTCCCAGGTCTCTCAGACTTTCCCCATATGGTAGATGCTCCAGTCCCCTCATCATCTACATAGCCCTCCGCTGGACTCTCTCCAGTAGTTCCTGGTCTTTTTTGGACTGGAGGGCCCAGAACTGGACACAGCACTCCAGATGTGACCTCACCAAGGCACAGTAGAGAGGGAGGAGAACTTCTTAATGCACCCCAGGATGCCATTGACCTTCTTGGCCATGAGGACCCATTGCTGGCTCATGGTTAACTTGCTGTCCACCAGCACTCCCGGGTCCTTCTTCACAGCGCTGCTTTCCAGGAGGTCAATCCCTAACCTGTACTGGTGCCTGGGGTTATTCCTCCCCAGGTGCAGGACTCTACACTTGCCTTTGTTGAACTTCATCAGGTTCCTCTCCACCCAGCTCTCCAGCTTGTCCAGCTCTCGCTGGATGGCAGCACAGCCTTCCAGTGAATCAGCCATTCCTCCCAGTTTTGTATCATCAGCAAACTTGCTGAGGGTACGCTCTGTCCCTTCATCCAGGTCACTGATGAATGTGTTGAACAACACTGGACCCAGTCTTGAACACCACTAGCTATGGGCTTCAACTTGACTCACACTAATGATAAAAAAGAGTGTACACAGACAGAGCAGCTCAGTAACACAGACTGCAGCTCGTACGATCACCACGCTGCTTTCTCTCCTGAACTGGTACCTCAGCCAGTGACACAGACACAAGTCTCACAAGTAACAACAAATTCCATTCGGAGAAGATTTTCCATCTTTTGTATTTTTATTACATTCATTTTCATTACATTTATTCCCTCCCCAGATATGCAAGACAAGTCACCACATCCTTTGCTTTCTGGATGCTGGGGATCTGCAGTAACGTTACTGCAGTGGTTCTCTGATCCTCAGTATCTCACTACACTTCCCCACCCCTGCCCCAAAACTACCTCATGCTTTATGCTTAAATCAAACACCGACACAGGACACACACATGTACAACCTGTACAGACCTCTCTATGGATGAAGAGCAGACACAGCAGTGGCCCTGTGGACAGGGCACAAGCGTGCAGCGTAAGGAAAGCACTGGACACATGATAGCATGCTCAAAGTAGAAGATGATACCCGAAGAGGAGCTATACCCAAGTTCATGGCACCTTGGCTTTTCTCATGCTCCTTTCACATCACATTTAACTATTTGACCCTTGGGGTGAGCTGGCACCTGGAAGCCGTTTGGGCTGAGCCTCTGAATAGATCAGGAAGCCCGTGAAGGTGATGTACTTGCCATGGTTGCTGTAGGCACCATAGCCATCGTGCTGATGGCTGTAGAGCCAGACAGTGTCCCCATATTGCAGAGGCAGCATGATACTCTGGCTCTGCATCTCCCGCCTCTTGGAATGGTTGTCATCATAGATCATGGCCTGCACCTCGTTGTGGTTCTTCATGAGTTTCACTGACATGGTCTTAAAGGGCATTTTGCCAATGGTGAAGGAGAAATAGTAGGCACCAGGTATACGGCATGAGAAGATGCCAGTGGAGGCATTGAAATCTTTTCCAATGTTCACAAATTCTGTGTCAAACGTGATTGGCTCGTGCTGGGTTTGCTTGTCATCTGTCCCCAGGAGACTTTGTGAGCGGGCAACAGAAAATGCAGAGCGAGGGTCTTGTTCCCTGTTTGGTTGATCAGATAACATGTGTTGTTGTGAAGCTTCATTCTGCTCTCTGGGAAGCTGCTGAAGAGTGTGATGGTGTGGTCCCAGCTCCTGAGAGGTAAGAGCATTCTGGAAGAAGGCAGAAGCATCTGGATAGATTAGGTAGCCATTGAAAGTTGTATAGGGGCCCACGTTGCTGTAAAGAGCATATTTGGGGTCTCCATGTAAACGCAGCCAAACGGTGTCACCGTAGTCAAGCTGCAGCATGGCGCTCTGGCTGGCTACCTTGCGTTCCTTGCGGTGATGTTCATCATACACAATCACTTGCACCTCATTCTTGTTTCTCATCAGCATGACAGACAAGTTTTTCTTTGGGTATTTCCCAACAGTGAAGGAGAAGTAGTAAGCTCCAGGGATTCGACAGCGGAACAATCCAGTCTTGGGATCAAAGTCATTGCCAATGTTCACATACACTTTATCAAAGGTAATGACCATCTCAGAGCTCCCTTCCATGCTGCTGGTTCTGGCTACAGAGAAAGCAGAGCGAAATTCAGTACCAGTGTCTGCTGGGAAGCCATCTGTAGGCAGAAAAATCACGCAGCAAAGGAAGCCGAACAGGAGCTGAACCTTCGAGGTCATCATTGTATCTGAAAGCAAAAAGAAGCATATTTTAGCAGGAATCCCATTAATTTCGAGCTCATACTCAACTTGAAACCCAGACCTGAATCTTGCTAAACAGACATGAAGGTCTGTGTTCAAATATTGAGAAGTTTCCAGTGCATTCTCTGATCAGTGTAGAGGACCAGACCTCAGCTCAGATCCCAGCACCATTTCAATGTTTGCCTAGCAAGAGCTGGACTTTTATATTCCGTACTCGTAGGAAGAAAAAGAATCTTCTCTGAAAGCCTGGCTGTCCTGCAGATTGTCTGCAAAACTGTGTTGCTCACACTGCAGAGGGACCTCAGAGCTTGCTGGGGCTTCGCCAGAGCTCCCTTTTGTAGTGCTTTTATTCATAAGACCAAGGATGAAACAAAGCCCTACACAGACCCTGGATTATACAACTGAGATAGAGCTGAAGGGCCGAGAGAAGAGGACATTGCTCCAGAGATTCCCATGCAGATGCCACTGCCCAGCACTGCAC